AGCTCTGTTTCAGTTTCATACTCTAACTCAGCTGAACACCGGAAAAACTTAAATTTAGCTGAACAGCGGAAAAAAACCTAAAATTTATTAACTTTGAAAAAGGGAAAAAATTCTTCAGTTCAACATTTCTCGGGATGGGGTGTTTGACACAACAAGGTGGATAGCCTGGCGTTAGCCAGCGATCCGACTTTATATGAAAAGGAGGATGCCCGGCGTAGCCGGGCATTTCATAAGAAGGAGGAGAGCCCGGCGTTAGCTGGGCGATCCGACTGGTTTTCGATAAACAATATTACCAATCAGTAATTACGTGAATTCAAATTCATTTTGAATATGTTCATGGACAACAACCTAGGTTTGCCAGATACTGTCTCCATGAGAGAGAGCAGGCGAGCATGAAATAACTGGGCTGACTGGCTGCCACGCATCCATCGCCTGGAGAGTACCACGAACGGCATGCCTGATATTCAGACGGCTGATGATACAGGACTGAAACCGACACGGGAACCAAGTTCGATTGTCACTGAAGTTCCCGACCACAGCAAGGACCATAGAGCAGTCCACGGAAGTCGTTTCAAGCAGAGTCGGCGGTATTACTTTGAAAGAAAACCTCGAGCTGTACGTGATTCCGGTATCCGTTCAGAGGTTAGGGTTTATTCATTGATCCAGGAAGCTATTAAATTTTATTTTCTTTGAAGATTTTTTTCTTTCATGTACACAGCACGAACTATTTACCGGTTTTCCAGTCCTTGAAGCTTCTTATCCGTCTCTTTTCCCTCGAAATTTTAGACTAACTCCAAGTAATAATGAATGATAACATTTCAACAATGCGGTGATATTGCTATATAGACTGATATCGCCACATAGTTCAAATGAAAACCATCCATTTCTGGACAAATACCGTACTTCGTAGTGTTCCCATATACATTATTCCCAGTTGGGTTACCTTGAGGTTCCATTTATCCCCATTAAATGCGTATGAAACAGTTGAGACGTTTGTATATGATGAACACGCCACCATTAAACCAAAAAGAAATTTCTGATTGAGGCAGGAAAAACGAACTTTAGGCATGATTCCATCTTCTGGCGCGTCCAATGTCGCCAGGATTCTGCAGGATGATAAGAAACTGATCCAGTACATCCAACATTACAGAGATGTGCTGCCAAGGGCGCTTCGAGGGATGAAAATAAAGTTGGTCAAGTCGCTGATGATTCTGGACGTGATGTTGGAAATTCAGCCCTGCCCAGAAGACGGGTCTATACACGACGTCGTACGAATGATTCAAATGCACCCGTCCAGGTAGGTAGGCGTTCTGGTAAAAGCAATTCAGGGAGGAATTCCAGCGTCCTGAACGCTTTACTGCAATGTCCAAACTTAAGGCTTCTTAGCCATTCCAGAAAGGCTGCAGTGTTACCACACCCGAGGTGACTGAACCCGGCAGAAAAGAAGTTAAGGACGACCACTTTCGAAAAAGCAACTTCAGGAGCAGAACGAGGAAAACGGCGAGAGATGATCGCCGTAGTAAAGGAAATCAAAAGGAGAGAGCGACCGAGACTGAATCAAATGTAAGTTTTATACTTTTATTATTTACGTTTAATCAACAAATTTTCTCCTCTTTATCTGCTATTTATTTCATAGCTGCTTTCATTTTCTAGTTTACTGAACTTTCAGTGATTTTTTCTCCGGGCCTAATTTTTTTTTTGAGGCAAATTGAATGTGAACAGCTTGGTTTCTTGTTCATCTTTTCAGAATCGTATCTCACAATCAGAAGGTGGAGATAGGCGTGAATCGCGAGAGCTAGATTTACAATGGATTAGCCGTCACCTAAAATTGCTCGTAAAGAAAAAGAATGTATCACCTCCGATAGAATCAGAAGAAGGGAGAGCAGCTACGACGAGTGTTCCAGAGAGCGTTATTCCTTCCGCATCATCCGTGGGTTTTGCTGCAAGGATTCATTCCTGTTACATATTTACCCTTTTGTATTCGAAATAACGCACCCGACGTAATCTCGGCTTCCTTCAGGATAGTAGATGTGCAGATGGCTCTTCCAAGAACGAAAACAAAGGAAGGGAGCATGATGAGCAAGTTATCGTGGGCTCTCGGTCTTCGCAGGTGGGAGAACATACTGCTCTTTCATTTATGAATCGTTCATTGCTGTGCAATTTTTGCTTCACGTCTACTTCGTAAATACCAAGCCGTAGCTAAGGTAGGGGATCTCTGACCATTTGCTGTATGGGCCACTCAACTGACGACAACCTAGTGTTTTCAACTCCGAGCGCTGTTTTCTGCGACCCCAGATTCGAAAAACTTTAGGTGTTTGTCGCATAACGTAAAGCAGACCCAATAATGTATGTATCGTGTCTACTCTAAGTTACCCTAAAGAAGGATCCACACTCATTACTGCTCTATCATCGCTGATGACAGTAAACCAGTAACCTTTCCCAAAAGTCATTAACTAAACCCAGCTGCGGTAGCTGATTTTAAATGCCTTTTTTCCTTAGAAATTGAAGTAACGTGTGTTCTTAGCAGTTCTCTTTTGGAACATAGTAAGTACACAGGTTCTAGATAAGTCTTTGTTAAGCTCAGTATTCCAAACGGCTCTACTCGTCCAGTACAGTCACACAACGACATCTCAATGCAGCACAGTGAAAACAACAGAAGTAATTTTCAGGTAGGAGCGCTGTTGCGTTTGTTCTTTTTACGATCCCAAATGTTTTGTTTTTTAAGCATAGACGACATCGGCCGAGATGGTTAAGGCAGTCTTTTCCGTTTCCGCCTGTTGTTGTACCTAATTGTGAGTCTAGGACGGGAAACTTCTTTTACCGTGAGGTAGGCCTTCAATATTTATTGTGGGACTATTTTTTAGTTTTTTCGAAATCTTTCTTGGAGTTCTTCGAAAGTTTGTAAGTCATAATCTGAAGAATATAATTCGGCTAGGTTTTTCCATAAGTTTTCAGAGAAGATTCACTGGCACGCAGTACCATCCTTATAATACGGGAAGTTGCGCTAATGGAAAACGAAACAGAATGGAATGGAATTCAAAAGGGACTTGGTCGAAAGAGGCTAGTGATTTTATGTTTTGACTTTCTTCATAATCATTTTTACATTCAACCGCCTCTCATATTGAGTCGATCTTTATCTTTCTTTCGCAACGTAGGGAATAGTATATAGGAATTGAGTACAGTGTGTTTTGTTGTCCCGGTTAGTAGCTAAGTTTGCGTAATTTGGATAACCATGCTACACTATTTGGATCCTTTTGCTCAGGGATTTATCCGGTTTTCCTGTACAACTGTGTCCGTATAATTTCATCATAGTCGATTAGGAAAATCCACGCTCATTTGTTTCCAAAGGGTGCTGTTTGAAGTGAGCTGGCTGAAGCTAAGTTACGACAGGTGGCATGAAGCGAAATCCCGGTTGGAAATTGTGATATGCGGCTGCGGGGTTTTGCATACTGGTACCAAGGCCGGTGTATCTGATTTGTGAATTGGAAATCTGTCAAAGTTTCACGTAAATTTTAATATGTTTTTGTTTCAATGAAGCTTTAGGATCTTGTCACCAAGTCACCAATTTGCACGATTATCGGTGCAGCCATCTCAATGACACCCTTTTACTTTTATCGATTTAGAATCATGGTCAGCAAGATGGGAGCGGACTTTATTTACCCCACGGTAACAATCAGATGCCAACTCAATCATTTAATTGTAATCAAACCCTGGATTACAGTAAGTATTGAATCGATGGTTTATATATATCACAAATTTTTGTTTGTTTCTGAGCAACTTCCTCGTATACTAGCTACTGTGCTCAAAGAACCACAAAAATTTCTTCATTACTTCAATGCCCTGAATTTTCAGAGATGCCTGCTTCGTTTTCCCCCCAGTTTTTCCGCCCTAACTTGCCGGATCTACATCACCCTGAAAAAGAAAGAAGGAAGGGAAACGTTTATAGGCGAAGAAATCGACCTCGGAACAACCATGTGAAGGCTGCTACACAAGCTCGCGGTCTCCCTTTGGAAAGCGGTGATTCCAATAAAACTCACAGCACATTAGCGAATTCAGAATCAGAACAACATGTAAATGGTGAAAGAGAGGGAACGTCACTCCCCTCGTCAGTTCCAACTAAATCTACATCTCCTTGCAACTACTCCGATGCAGTTCCTGACGATTTGCCAAATACTGTCGGTGAAGTTTCTGCGAGCTCTGATATCGTTCAAGAAGAAGCAAAACATGACAATAAACGCGAGTCTCCTGATGGAAATACTTCCTCAAAGACGATTGAAAGTCATTCATTCGATGAATTAATTCAAGAGGTTATACAACTTGAGGAAGCTGCAGAAAAGTATGATATTGAGAATTTATGCGACTGTGTTATTAAAGACCTAGGGGAAATCGTTGACTATAGCACGAATCGCCTACTACGTGTGATGTTGGATTTTCTTCACCCTGATGCGAGATCTCTCACAGGTGATCTTTCGTTTTGGGAAAAGTATTTCTGTAGAGCAAGCTAATTTTAGGATATTCCATTTGTAAATTTGAAAATTACATCGGGTTTTGGAGTACTATCAATGGGGTCGAATCAAAAATCTCTCTGTTCGTTCTTCTTTTCGTAGCGGGAAGAGGAGGGAGCTGACTGGTTCGATTTATTGACCATAGCAATGTATGTAGAAAGACAATACAAAGTATAATCTTGATGACGTCCTGTGCCTAGATTGCTCTATGAATGTAAAAGTCCTCCATTTCAGACAACATCGGAATTTCTTGTCAAGATTTCTATAATCTCTGTTCTCGAATTTCCAAGGTTGAATTCAATGCCATTCGAGAAATAAACACTTGTAACGTCGACGGGGTCCTTTTGCAGCGACTCTACGAGGTACAGTCAAATTTTCGACATATTCAAAATTGCTGCACAGGAGCGATTCAGGAACTCGGTAACATCTGCCGATCAATTCTTGTGCCACTTTTGGCTCAGAAGGCCTACTTGGCTGACAGCATAATTGACTTCACCCGTATGGATTTGGACATAATTGAAATTGAGGTATGGTAGTTGTGGTCGCTGATTTTCACAAAATGCAATATGAAGTTTCATCTTTAGAACTTCGATCATCATAAGGAGCTTGCATTGGTTTTTGCCATAGCTGACGACTTTCGTAAGGTCCCAAAACTGAAGGAGAAAGATGTTTGTGGTTGGTTAGATAAATGTGAAGCCATGAAGGAAATGTTTGATGCTTTTATAGCTGATGATAAACAAAAATTAAAGCAGGTTGGTTTTCTTTGCCCTCTGTATTAATTCGTACAAACGTTTTATACAGCTTGGTGTTACTGACACGGCAGAGACCATCGCGGAAAAAATCGAGCTTGGTATTGAAATACCCGATCAAGACATTACAGTGGTTCGTTTCGCCTCCTCATTGTTTGTTTGAGCAGCCTTTATCTAGGGAATTACTTTCACTGAGCAGTTCAAATTCACCCTTTCAAAATGAACTTCGACATGTATGTAGATGTTACGAGAATCAATAAACTCTGATTTCGGAGAGTACACTTGGCTAGTGGAGCGCTATCCTCAGCTCATTCGTACTCCGGAGCACTTTGCCTGGTTAGCAGTTTTTTTTTATGATGCTCTGTTTCACTGTTTTAGTGGTTTTGACTTTTTTCAATTTAATTCGATTATTTTTGCGAAATGCTCCCGCATTTCAGTATAATGGAGTCTATACCTCTGATGGAAAAATGTGTTGACATCCGTCCGCTAAAGCACACTATGGAGGTAAGCACATTGGTATAACTGCCATTAGGTGATCTTGAAATGGCGTGTAGGTCTACACTCTTCCTCACCTCCTCAAAATTAAATCTTATCATGGAGATATATTCAAAAGACTTCATAGGGATAACCCATCTGCGTTTTTGATGATTTCAATATCGGAATAACAAGTTATACGCGCATGTATTGGTTCAACTTCAACTGCTTTCTAGCCGTCCTGCTAGGCTTTTTTGAAGGCGCTTTCTTGTTTGTGTTCCGCGTTGCTTGAATAGAACTGTGCACAGGATTTAGGAATTGGAATTTTGCCTTCTCAAATCATCTGTTCGCTTCACTGAAATTTTAGATTATACCGAAATTGTTGAGCGGACTGAACCATGACGAATATGACAGCTGTGTCGCCCAATATCTAGATCGGCATGCACTGGTCAGAGTCGCCAAAAGTTGGGTACAGCTGCTGCGCAATTTCGACAGCACCGATCAGGTAAAATTACCTTAAGAACCATGGTTTCCCGATTCTTCATTCGGAGAATNTGTTTAAGCTCGTCATGGAACTCACGACGCAATTCCTTTTCCGGTCGACCAAGTATGGGGCTGAAGAGTTTCTCGGTGCTCTACTCGACAACATCCCTGTCGATAGTAAAGTTGAGGCTATTAAGGTGACTTCTTTGTTCTTTTGGAGCTCCATGTATGTGGTCTGCCTGGTCCTGATCATTGAGGAAGGATTATTTTCTACTACTATTTCGTTATTTAGTGCATTGACTTTCTTCCTCCATGCCTTCGTAAAATCCTGCTATCCGAGTCACCTGATAAAGGAAGTTTATACGACGCAACGAAACTGATGACAAAAGAGATGCCTGCTACGCGTTTTAAGAAGGAAGCTGTCTTTCTCATTTCGAGTGGGGCTCTGATATGCTTTCTTGAACCTACTAGACTCATCGCCATCGTCGTTCAAGCTGAATGTTGTAGACTTATGCGAGTACAGTTCTTTATCGCCATCGAAATTTCTGTCGATGGTGTTCTTTCCTATGATGTCTACTCCAGCTAAGGCCAAAGCAGCTCTTGCCATTTCATCATTGGTTAAACATAGAAAATTCAAAAAAGAAGTTAGAGAAGGTGTGATATTTTGACTTTGTTAATATTCCGTATCAACTGTGTCATGGTAACAGCTCTTTAATTTCGGGACCGATCATTTCTCCATCCGATATCCTAAATTTTGCACTAGAGCAATATGAACCTCCCTTGACCACAACAGGCCGCAGTAGGTATACCTTTATAGGTGAGGATTTACGAATTCTTACTCATAATGGCAACATTCACGTACGTCTTTATTTACTGCTACTGTGAATCGTTATGTATGTCATTCCAGAATCTATGTTCTCTGCTGCACGTGAGCTTCTATCGGATGACAACAGACTGTTTGTAGACATGAATGAGATCTTCGATCAGTTCCAGGTTCGTTCGCTCCGCTTATTCAGCTTATCTGCTGGCTACTGTACAGGTTGTCAAAGTTGGAAGAACAGTCGTTATAAACAATAATCAAACAGAAAGCCTCTCGAGAGAGGATAACTCTGGGTAAATTTTGCAAGAACTTCTCTACAAACTGTGGCTGCATCAGAATGTCTTCACTCATCAAAGATTTCTCAAGAAATACGTCACAAAATACGTCACTGCTTCAGCTTCGGAGTCACATAGCTAATGAATACGGAATGTACCTGATTAGCTGCTTGTGTTCATACGAAGAAATTCTTACCAGCAAATAATAGCCTTCGTTAGCCACCATGCAAATAAAATCTCTTCCAACAATCTTCCTGCCGTTCTTGTTCTTTCGTTCATTCATTATTTTGTACCAAATATTACAATCTGTACGGCTTCTTATTGCAGAACATCACTTGGTATCAGAAACTGGTCATCTCCACGCTCTTTTGCGATGGGATTGGTCCGGTTTTAATCGAGGTGACTATTTTCTTCCTTCAGAGCAACATAATTTGTACACTCGGTTAATTGCACTGACTCTCTCTAGTATCCTTGGAAATGTAGTGGAAACTCGGTGAAGTCTTTATATACTTTGCGAGAGCTGCCTCATATTCTTACCTCCTGGCCTGGTGATAACTCCAGACTTTTCGAAAACTTCATTGAAGGTAATCTTTTTTAACACTATTCATAAATAATGTAGTAGATTGTGCATTGTAGGGTTAACTAGTTGTTTTGGTAATTTCTGTCTTTAGTCTTTGTACATGGTGATGAACTAGTTATTTGTAAACCAGGAATTTCAGATAATTTTGAATCTGACGATGCAGATCTTCTATCTCAGGTGATGCTCCTGTCGTTGGATCGTAATGAAGACCGTCTTAAGGTTCCTTATGGAGCAGTAAAAAAAGCTTGTGGAAGGTCAGGTTTCATGTTTCAGGAAGTCGTGCATGTATTCGCAAACTCCGTATATGGTATCAGTCATGACTCGTGCAACTGGGAAGAAATGCTAATCGAGTCCGAGAAGAAAAGTGAAAGCAACGACTCTGAAGGTGATAAACCGGAATGCTATCATTAGTTATCTGTTACACGAACTAGTTGAGGACTTAAGACAATGGACTATATTCGTTTCAAAAAATGAGAGTTATTCAGGGATAATTTCGAAACCAGAGACTAAAGGACTCAATGACCACAAGCTCGACTTCGAAGAGGAGTCAGCTGAAAATCCTGGTACTGCGGACACATTCCGGCAGCTCACGCCTTCTGGGGAAGTACCAAAGGTGACGAATCGGCTGAACAATGATTCAGAAACTGCTTTTGCGGCTCTCGTTACGTCTTCTCTTGATGATATTGAAGACACAGACCTTCCGGCTGTCAGAAGATGCTTATCACATCTTCTGGACGAAGTGGCTGGAATAAAAGAATCCGATACATTTCCGAATACACTGTCAGATAAAATGGGTGGTTGTTGTTCGACTGCCAGTGGAAGTTCGTCGAAGTTAGATGAGGGGCATAATGAGCAGGAAAAAGAGGCAGCCGCTCAGAAAGTAAAACTCCGATCTCAGCTGGATGATGCAGAAGATTCAAGGAAGAAAGAGCAAAACGAATATGAAGATTGGAATACGGAAGAGCTGTTTGATCAGAAGGCAGAGAAACATCAGATTTTGCAGGTGATTTTTTTTTCACATTTCTTTAGGCTCGATTAATTTAGCAGGCAACTTGAGGATGAACGGCTCAACACCTACTCTTTACTCAACATCATTACATGTATATTCTCAGAGGTGACGCGCAGTCGCTTGGCTTCGGAAAGACGGGTGGTGCGAGGGTCAAAAAACAGTTGTAGATGCGGTGGATGTTGTGGCAGTTGTTTCTAAAAGTCGAGCAACCGCATTACGGCGACATAATAGTGACTCCTTATTATTGCACCTGACATCCTTAATGGGGCACAATAAAGGGTCAGACATTGTATCGCGTGAATGCCACGCCCAAAGCGAACGAGTCTCAATGGTGGCGTAGAGGCTGCACCAACTCAAAGGAATCCCATGTTGAAATTCAGACAACTTGTCACGTCTCATAGTGACAGTGGAAGGCAGTCATAGACAGTTCCGACTTGATGTAGTCAACTCTTTCTGCAATTGTAACAACTGAACTCTCGTCTGTATCCCCTTCCATGCCATTTCCGCCATGATAATCTCGTACATCCTTTATTTCCACTACTGAAAAACCTATCTTCTCGCGAAGTAGGCGAATACTCTCACTTTCTTCCCCACCTATGCACTACTCTACATCAACTTTACCTCTTTTTGATTTAAAATGGGTACCTCAAAACTATAGTGAACTGTGCCTTTAGATAAGCAGCAAGAAGTGGGAACAAATGATTTACTTGTTTTCCGAGTTCCTGGAGAGATTAATAATTTTTAAGTCCGACTCGAATATTTTTCCCCTGTCTTAAGGACCTGCGCACGTTCACATGGGCTCTAGACACCCTTGAAAAGTGGTCAGGCTGTCCAACATCAGTTCGGGAGAAAGGTACGATTTCTGATTTGCTTGTCTTTAGCGAGCCTATTTCTTGATAGTTTTCTATTCTTTTCAGTTTTATTGATGGCAGCGAACTGTCACTGCGATTTAGTGAAGGCTCGAGCGTCAAAGATGGAAAGAGACACCAGCCGTAATTAACGGTTTCACTTTTGTTTTGTTTCACGTTTTTTAAAAATCATCAGTAGCATGCGATATTGTTGATTGCTTTCACGTTGTAAGTTTTTTTCGTTGATTTCTTTATTCTACTGCAAATGTTGCAATAAATAGTAGTTACAAAATACAGTCAGTATAGTTGTTAAGAGACTTATTTCAGGAGTCCCATGCCGACTTGACATTCCGTAATATTAGGGATTCATCGTTAGATTTGGGAAGTTTCTTGAATTGTTTCTCGGTATTTCGATGTCTCGCATTTTGAGGCCCGGAATAGTATCATTTGTCGAAAATGGGTTCAATTCGAGTCGAACGCGTCTGAGTTGGCATCAATAATGCGACCAAGGCTATCCTTTACCGTGAGATTATTGTAAAAGCAATCCATTATTATTAGATTACTAGTAGGAACTGTTCGGATCATCTATGGGGTGTACCGAATGATCTGTGACCATGCGTCTCGGGTAGCTGCGATTTATTTCCGAAGGTGTGAATGTAGGCAAGCGCGTTCTCGTTTGAGTACAAACTTTCGGTGTCGCGACCGCAATTGTGCCTCGGATGTGGGTCAAGAACGATCACGTGGCGGTCGCCATCGTAGTTCTGTTAAATATCTCATGTTCAGTTTTTCAACTAATCTTTGCTCTCAGAAAAACCCTTAAGGTTTCTGGATTTAATTGTTGCACTTCTAATCTGATGCTATTCAGACTGCTCAATCTGACCTCTTTGTTCAAGTACAAACTCTAGCCAAACAGCATTTTTCTAATTTACGCTTTGTTTTAAGCTCGAATGTAATTGTACCACGAGCAAGTTTTTTTCTATTCCGTCTACAGGATCGTATTTGCTTGCTCTCTCTGACAGATTTATTCCGACTCGAAATAGTTCAAGTTAGCTGGGGAAGAATGGGAAGATTCGATGTAGCTGGTTTTTAACTCTCACGAGGTTGTCAGTGAAACTATTAGCTAACGTTCCCTCGTTTTTCAAAATGTCGAACGGATAAATAATCTGTGAATATCCGATCAAACGTCTCCACAGCTCTACAGAATTCGAGACCCCCAGGGCAGGGTTTAACCTAAAGAAATTCCAAGCACCGTATTCATGGATCCTCGAGACCACCCAATTTCAATACTATAGTAAAAATTCAATAACGCCCTTGTGAGAGTTTGTAACGAATTACATCATCACTACCATGCCGAGATTTTGGATGCCCATACAAGGAGTTGGGAAGTTTTCTTTGGTTCTTTTCATTTGAGGAATTCTGATCTCAAAAAAATTTTTTGACGGTTCCCCAGTAGGATGTCTCTTGGATAATCAAAGTAAAACTTTGACTATAGTATCTGTTTGTTGGTAGCTATCCTGTCTTGGTTTGGTGTTATGAATGAATGAGCTAAAATTCAACTGAAGCTGATTAATATCCTGTTCTGGATGCGCCATGCAATTCGATTTCCACTCTAAATATCGATTCTGAATGTGTGCTCATCTTAAGTAATCAATTGACTAGGCTAATCATATCTTACACTGTCTAAACGGTCCCAGTATGGAAAAAACATCAGGGATAGTAGCTGGATTATGAGTTTGATCTATGAGCTATGCTTACAATAGCGGCGCTATCTGTCACTGAACTACCTTTGTTCAATGATAACAAAAGCCCGAACAAGTTTTTTCTATAGCTGCGTAGATAGCTACCCGATCCGAACAGTATGCATTACCAATGGATCGTTTCCTTCTGTCCTTTTTCATTGATTGAACTTGTTGCTTACCCTGAAGTTGGTAATCTCTTGGGAAAGTAAGAGCTCGATAAAGTGCGGGAACAAATCGAATCTTCTTATCCACCCCTTTTTCTTGTAGTTACTCCCATTTCTGCACTGTTGAAATTCAGCCTTATTCACACTCACAGAAAAGGTTTCCATGATATGTACACTTTCTAATTCAAGCAGGTCACTTTTCCTCTGAAATTGGCTAATTGCCTCTGCTGAATGCTATTGTAGGATGCGTTGACAACTCTGATTGTTTCTATTATTCCTAACGAAGTTCGTGGGTATGGCTTATCCCCCAATACTTGAAAGGCAAATATTGGAAGATCGCAATCAATGGTAGGTCCAGACATTTCTTAACATTATCCTTTCTTATGGATGGAGGTGGTGTAGTGGCAAGTGGCGCACTATCTCACAGCATAGACACGGATTCTTATACCTGATCCATATCCGCCTGAGCCAATCAAACCTTCCATGCCTCCGGGATCGGTTCATCTGTACAAGACTCGTCCGAGAAGATAAAAGCAGTGATCTGTAGTTCGGCTGGCCATTGCAAATCATTGTATAGGCCACATACGCATTCATCACGCCACTACGATCTGAATGGCAGTCGAATGCACGGCGCTTCCGCCAGACGGGATTGATCACCGCCAAAAGGCTTAGACTATCCTTACTCATTTAGCGCTCTGAAGCAATTAATCAGGCTCTATCTTCGTCAAGTGCTATCTCGTCCAAGGATGATTCAGATTGTTATTTATATCAAATTCACATGTTTCAGTCTTTGAGACGGAGTCG